CTCACGGCCCCTCTCCTTTCGGACTTCCCTTCCCTTGACTCTCAGGGACGAAACGTTCCCGTGGCCAAAATTCAGCCGCGCCCAAAGGGGCGCGGGAAGGGAAGAGGAAAATACCGTCCCCCCGGAGCGTGAGGTGGGTGGTTTGGCCAGATTGCCCTTGCGCAGGGGATGCCGTTGGGGGCCCCCGTTTGGAGGGCTACTGCTGGGCTGAACCGCTCCCGTTTTGGTTGTGTCCGTATGGGTCGCCACTTCTGCGCCCTGTGCTAATACCTCTTGGGTTGCAGAAGGGGCCCGAGTGCTTCCCACCTGTGCCAGTAAGGACAACCGTTGCAGCCCACAGCGGAATGCCGCCCAGCGATAGCAGCAGAGAGTGGAGCACCGTCGTTCTGTCGCCAAGGGATGTCTAATTCTGAGTATCCTCCTCCTCCTCCTCCTCCTCCTCCTCCTCCTCTTCCTCCTCCTCCTTACTGGGCCGAAGACAGGAAACGGGTGCCACAATTGAAAACGCACGCTTGGAAGACAGAAGTGATGTTCCCCATCGCTCCGGCCTCGGAGGCATGGTGAGGCGTCCTGCTCTTGGGTCTCTGCTCGGGCTGCTTCTGCTGAGCAAGCCCCTGTCCAACCCGCCCTGCTCCACCGTCCGTTGGAGCGTGACACCCCTGCACCGTCCAGACTCGGAGCCGCAAGCAAATGTAAGCCGGGAGCGCGGCGACCGTGCCGTGCCGTACTTGACTGAACGATGCGATTCCACGACGCACAAAAAGTACCTAATTGGGCGTGTCCTTCATGGCGACGGTGATCGCCCTGATGCACTGGATGCCCTCCGCCGGCAAATCAAGGAGGGGAAGGTCTATATTGTCGGGCTGGAGGAGCGGACAGAAGAGCCACCCACGGCCAACCAATCATCAACAGTCCTTCTCGCGCAACGCCAACCCAGGACACCACGACACATCGGCAAAACAACGGAGGACTACAGTGGCAATGGTGCCGTTTTCGCAAAAGCCGAGCTTCGAATGTCCAGTGACGCGCGTTCTCTCCTCCTCCTTGTCTTTTCTCCTCCCTCTTCTCCTTGCCTTCTTCACCGTGCTCCCCACACCCCGCCCCCCACCCTTCTCTTCCTCCGCCACCGCATCCCAAATTAAACAATCTGAGCTCTCTTGTCCTTCCTCCCCTGATATTGTCCGGAAGATATCCGCCCCTTCCGCGTGCTGTTTTGCTTGCGCACAGGATTTCCAACCATATGTTTTGACAATGTCCGACGATTAGGTCTACAATCCGAGTGTGTCTAGTGTTTCAAACTGGTGCAACCGCTGAAGCGTGGGCCTCACTTTCGGGTCTGCGCTGTGCTCCCGCTCCCGTCGTTCAGAACGGCGCTCTCGCCCCAGCGCGGGACACCTTTCTGAATTTGAATATTGCTTCATTGTGGGGGGTCCTCCGCAGTCCCCTGGTCCTCCCGTTAATCCCGCCCCTTCCAGTCCAACTCCTGCTGCTGCTGTTCGTTTCGCCCGAGCGCGGGCCACTTTCCTGAATTCGAATATTGCCTCATTGTGGTCCCAGTCGTTTCCCTTCCTCCGCCTTCTCGCGGTCCCCCTCTTCCTCCCGATCCTCCCGCTTTGGTTGCTGGCTGTTCTTCCTCATCCTTTTCCTGCTTCTGCTCACCTGCTACCTCGTTCTCTTATGCAGTCAGCCCCCGTTTTTTTTCCGATTGCGCATCACACGTGGTCCCTGCTGTGCGGGTCGCAGATCGGCTATGACACGCGTCCGCGGAAAGAGAACAATGAACGGCATGAAAAAACATGCGTGGGAGAGGTACAGTATCAGATGAGACGCGAGCGCGCCTGCGTTGTCCATCCCCCCTCCCCCCAGTCCCCCCGCACTCCAATCGCCATCCGCATCCCTCGCCCCCTCCTCTACTCATCTCTGTAGTCGCCATCCTTCTCCCCTGTTCTTCGTCGTCGTCGACGTCGTCGTCCTCCTCCTCCTCCTCCCGTCGCACTCGTCCTCATCATCATCCTCCCTCTCCTCGTCCTCCTCCGCCTCCAGCTGATCGGCCCGGATCTCCTCTATCTCCTACAAGAATTTCTGGAGCCGCCCCTGCGCCCTTCCAGCTGAGGTTTGATGGGTTCCCCGCGGGGTCGCAACATTACAGCGGATGGTCCTCTCAAATCCGTATATATATATAGATGTTAGGATCGATCGCGAAATCGATAGTGATATCGATATTGGGATCGATCGTGAGGACGATAGTAAAGTTGATCGCGAGACCGATAGTGAAGTCGGTTCAGTGATACCGACAATGAGACCGATCGTGAAATCGCTCGTGCGACCTGTAGTGATAGCGATTGTGAGATCCATAGTGAGATCGATGGGGGGGGAATGACACCGATGGCAAAACCGATCGTAAAAAGATCGGCCAACAACCGGGGAGCCCGGGAACTCCGGCACCGAACGAAATCGGCCCAGAAATCGGCCCGGGACAGGCAACCGTGAACCCAGTGACCCGGACCTGGAAACCAGGGAACCCAGCGGCCCCCCGAAATCGGCCACCCACTTTCGCCAAATTCTTCAAGATCCGTTTGGACCCGTTCAGTGCAAACACGGATTGGGGAATCGACGGTCCAAAAACGGCGGCGCAGCCACCCCCTGCTCGCCCTCATCCTCCTCGTCCTCATCGTCCTGGTCCCCCTTGCCCTGCATCCCCTCCTCCCCGCCCAGGCTCTCCTTGCCCTCCTCCTTCTCCTGCTCCTCATCCTCCGCCTCCCCCTCCTCTTCCTTCTCAGTGGGCCCGAATACCAAAATTTAGAGCACACGCTTGGATGACAAGAGTGATGCTTTCCACCGCTCTGGCCCTGGGAGTCTGGTGAAGGGTCCTGCTTTTGGGTCTCTGCTCGGGCTGTTCCTGCTGAGCAGGCCCCAGCCCGACCCGCCCTGCCCAACCGTCCGTTGGAGCGTGACCCCCCGTGCACCGTCCAGACTCGGAGCCGCAAGCAGTTCTAAGTCGGGAGCGCGGCGACCGTGCCGTACTTGACCGGACGGATGCGACTTCAAGCTCGGCCAAAGCACCCAGGTGCGTTTTGTCATTCTTATGACGACGGTGATCGCCCTGATGCACTGGATGCCCTCCGCCGACAAGTCAAGGAGGGAAGGGTTCACATCGACCCTGATGCCGCCGACAAGTCAAGGAGGGAAGGGTTCAAATCGACGGGCCGCAGGAGCGGACAGAAGAGCCACCCACGGCCAACCAATCATTAACAGTCCTTCTCGAGCAACGCCACCCCAGTACACCACGACATATCGGCAAAACAACGGAGGACTACAGTGGCAATGGTGCTGCTTTCGCAAGCGCCGAGCTTCGAAGGTCCACTGACCTGCGTTATCTCCTTCTCCTTGTGTTGTTGGTCATCCCTCTTCTCCTCGTTTTCTTCCTCCTGCTTCTCCCACCCCGCATTCTCCCCCTCTCCTTCCTCCGCTGCAACCGCCTCCACAATTCAACCATATGGATATTACTGTCCTTCCTCCCCTGAAGCTGTCCGGGATATCTCCCGCCCCTTCCACGTGCTGTTTTGCTTGCGCACAGGAGTACCAAACATGTTTACGCATAGTCGGGCTGCAGTAGCGAACGCAAGAGCCAACCACGTCCAACCAGTTCTCAGCGGTTCCTTCTCACACAAAGCCAGGGACAACGCGACACATCGGCAAAACAACGGAGGATTACGGTGGCAATGGCTCTGCTCTCGCAAGCGCCGAACTTCGAATGTCCACTGACGCGCGCTCTCTCCTTCTGTCTTCTTTTCCTCCCTCCGTTCCTCGTATTCTTCCTCCTGCATCTCTCACCTCGCCTCCTCTCCCTCCTCCCCCTCCTCCTCCGCCACCGCCTCCACAATCAAACACCTTGAACACCACTCCCTCCTCCCCTGGAGTTGTCCAGAAGATCGTCCGCCCCTTCCGCATGCTGGCTCGCGTGCGCACAGGATCCCCAAACTTGTGATGCGCTGTGCTGTGCTGTTCTTGTCTGACAGGTTGGTTTACAATCCGAGCGAGCCTGGTGCTTCAGACCCGCGCGGCCGCTGGAGCGTGGGCCTCGCCCTCGGAGATCGGTGCTCTGCTCCCGTCGCCCACCATGGCGCTCTCGCCCTGGCGCGGGCCACCTTTTCTGGAGCCGAGTCTTGCTTCCTGGTGGTCCCCCCTGCAATTCCCCTGCTCCGCCTTCTCTGGTCCTCCTCCTCCTCCTCCTTCTCCTCCTCCTCCTCTTCCTCCTCCCCCTCCTCCGAATCCTTCTCCTCCTCCTCCTCCGCCTTCCCTGGTCCTCCTGTTCCTCCCGATTCTTCCGCTCCAGCTCCTAGTGCTGCTGCTGCTGCTGCTGTTGCTGCGGTTCGTCCTCGTACTTTTTCTCCCGCGCGTCCTCATGCTCACCCGCCACCTCCTCCTCCTCCTCCTCCTCCTCCTCCTCCTCCTCCTCCTGTGCACGCAGCTCCATTTTTCCGATTGCGCATGACACAAAGTGGTCTCTCAGTGGGAGCCGCAGGTCTGCTATGACACGCCTCCGCGGATAGAGAAACATCAGCGCCATGGGAAGGGTAGGGATGGGAAGGAGGGGTAGGATGTCAGATGAGGCGCGAGCAGACCTATCTTGTCCATCCCCCCTCTCCCCTCTCCCCTCCGCACCCCAATCGCCATCCGCATCCATGTCCTCCTCCTACTCGTCGTTGTCTTGTTCGTCCTACTCCACTACATCTCTGTGTTCACCATCCCGCTCCCCTCACAGTCGTCCCCCTCCTCCTGCTCCTCCTCCTCCTCCCGCTCCTCCTCCTCCTCCTCCTCCTGCTCCTCCGACTCCCCCTCCTCCTCCTCCTCCTCCTCCTCCTCCTCCTCTCCTCCTCCTCCTCCTCCTCCTCCTCCTCCTCCTCCTCCTCCCCATCCCCCTCCCCCTCGCGCTCGTACTCGTCCTCATCCTCTCCCTCCTCGTCCTCCTCCGCCTACACCTGATCGGCCGGGATCTCCTCTATCTCGTGCAGGAACTTCTGGAGCCGCCTCGGCGTCCTTTCAGCAGAGGTTTGATGGGGTCCCCACGGGGTCGCAACAAATATGGTCCAGCAACGGCGGCGCATCCTCCCTCTGTTCGCCCTCACCGTCCTCGTCGTCGTCGTCCTCGTCTTCCTTGCCCTGCCTGCATCCCCTCCTCCCCGGCATGCTGCTCCTTATCCTCCTCCTCCTCCTCCTCCTCCCTGGGCTCGAATACAGGCCACGGAGGCCGAATTTGAGGAAACATTCTTGGACGATAGCAGTGATGTTCCCCGATGCCTGGAACCTGCTCGAACCCCGAGCCTCGATCCTTGAACCCCGAGCCTCGAGCCTCTCGAAAGGCGCGTCCCCACCAGAATCTCGAGGCGGCTCCGGCCTGCCGGCAGGAGGCTGCATGGCGGTGCGCGCACGGCAACCCGAGCAGATCGAACACACGCGCGAAAACACAGATCCTCCTCCTCCTCCTCCTCCTCCTCCTCCTCCTCCTCCTCCTCCTCCTCCTCCTCCTCCTCCTCCTCCTCCTCCTCCTCCTCCTCCCCCCCCGCCTCGATCCGCGATCCCCGAGTGCGCCGCCAAAGTAACTGCCCGTCTTCACCGCCGCGGGGTCGTGTCCCAGAGGCTCGCGGAGCGGTGGAGGCGGCTCTCCGCCCGCCCATGCGGGCGCGCTTATGTCCAGATCCACAGCTCCGCGGTATGCCCGGGCACGGCTTCGGAGCGGTGGATACGGCGGGTTCAGAAAACCCTTAACACAAAGACCTTGCCATATATCGTCATGGATGCCATGACAATGGACACTCTGACCGTTCGATCATTAAACATGTCTTTGACATATCTTCTACATGTTCCAAGCATGTTCGAAACATGCTGCTTAACACATGCTTAAACACTTCAGGAACATATGCTAAACATGAGTTCGACATCTGGGAACTACTTGGCAGCCTGCCTCCTCTCCATTGATCGTTTTCCACACGCCTGTTGGGAGGAGGAGGAGGAGGAGGAGGAGGAGGAGGAGGAGGAGGAGGAGGAGGAGGAGGAGGAGGGGGGAGCCTCGTGGTGCTTCCGCCGCCCCTCCGCCGCCCATCCCGCGGAGGAAGAGACGCCACCTCCCTGGGTCCCCGAAGACGAGGCCCTTCCTCGAGTGCGTCATATGAGCTCCATGGACATTCTATGCCGGTGGGCCGAGCCCGATCATCGATGCCCCGAGGCCATCTCCGCCTCCCGCCGGCGAGTTCTCTGTCGTCCTTCCTCCGCTCGCCTCTCGCCCGGCGGACGACGTCCGCGCAGCACCTCGCGGTTGCGGATGAGAGTGATGGGGGCGGCGGGGTCGTTGGCAGTCTGCGAGGCCTGGAGAAAACCGCCGCAGGCGCCGACTTTTGACAGTCCGACGCGCCCCCGCCGCAGGCGCCGATTCGTTTCGTCAAAACGATGTGCGTGGGTCGCGGGTGGGTCGCGGGTTGGGTCGCGGGGTAGGTCGCGGGCGGGTCGCGGGCGAGGAGAACGTCAACAACAACAATCATTGTAAGACAGTTCGCTCGTGTCTGCTCGCGTGCCATTCAACACTTATATCCCACACCCTCGATTCCTGCCTCTTCTTCTTCGCTCGTACCCTCTTTGGGGCACATATCCCTTACCTGCCACGTGTATTTGGCGCAGCCCCTGAAACAGGGAAGAGAGGACGGATGGAAGGACAAAGAGGAAGGGAGAAGGATGGAGCACGAGAGAGATTAGCAGGAGGGGGGGTCGGAGCAGAAGCACGTGGCAGAACCAGACAGGCAGATCGGGCGGGTAGACCCTAACGGGCCGGTCGGGAAGGCGGGCCCAGGCGGCCAGGTCGAGGCGGGTTGCTGAAGCGTGGGTCTTGCAGGGACCGCGAGGAGGTCTTGAGGGATAGCGCGATTCCCAAGTAAATCGCAAGAAAGGGGAAAGCGAGAGCGTGATTCCTGAGTGTCGAGGGCGCGGCGTCTGCATAAATTGTGAGGAAATGCCACGCGAAAACGCGATTCCTGCATACACTCTGAGGACGTCCCGCGCGACAGCGCGATTCTTGAATAATTTGTGAGGATAAATGAAGCGGGAGCCGTTGTTATGGTAGTTCGGGGGCCCGGGGCTCAATCTGAGGCTCAAGACTTCCACTTGGGAAAAATGGGTGCAAGCCCTGGGTGGAGGAGGACTCCCATGGACAAAAAACACAGTTGGCACCGGGGGGCGGATCAAACATGGATATCCTCCAAAACATGAAAATTCAACGCAACGGCGCAACAACAATCGGCACCGCGGCACTCCACTCCAGCCCCGCACCCAGGGACAGTGAATGACCGCTCGGTCGGAGGAGGGGGAGGAAGGATGCGGGAGGAACGCGGGGCGCCGTCTCTTCAAAACGAGTGCCCAACACCACAGGATGGTTGTGGAAAAACATGGATCTTCCTCAGGTGTTGAACCCATGTTGGCCTCTTTGGGGGTCCTTGGAGGGCTCGGAGGGCACTTGAAGCCGCCTTGGGGCCATCTTGAGGCCTCCTGGATCACTCACCCTGAAAAGCTAGGGGAACAACAAGTGGCACAAGCATAACAACTCGGAGGTCTGCGCGAGTTTCTCGGCCGGGGGCCCCAGCGCCGATCCGAGAAATTCGCGAGGACCTCCGAGTTGTTTGGGCGCCCGAGTTATCCCGGGTAACTCGGGTCCGGGGTAACTCGGGTTTGGATTCCCGAAAAACGAGCCCGAGTTATCCCTGACCCGAGTTATCCCTGATGACTCGGGGCTCTGAGTTGTTATGTTTGTGCCACTGCTTGTTCCCCTAAAAGGCTGCCTGCGCCAGGTCGGCGGCGGGCCCGTGGGGGGGGCGAGGCCCGAGGGGGGCCGGCCTTCGCAGAGGGCTCGGGAGGCCTCCGGCCCTCCGAGGAGTGCCCCCTCTAGGCCTTCTTGAGGGGGCCCTGGGACACACAAGTGAATACACAAAAAATAGCAGGATTCCCCATATTTTCTGATAGTTTCTGTGTTTTTGTCTTCCCCCCCCCCACTTCCCATGTTTCTTTCCCGCGTTTCCTGGGGATCGACGATTCATTGTGTCTGTTTTTTTTTTTCTCTGCTGACTTCTCCCCGAGGACAGAGGCGGGCGGCTGCTCAGGATGCGCGAGGGCTCCTGAGAAGCCCCGCCGCACTACTCTGAGAAGGCCTGCCCCCCTCCTCCTCCTCCTCCTCCTCCTCCTCCTCCTCCTCCTCCTCCTCCTCGAGGTCCTCCTCCTCCTCCTCCTCCTCCTCCTCCTCCTCCTCCTCCTCCTCCTCCTCCTCCTCACCGCCACATTACTATGAGGAGGCCTGGCCCCTTCTCACACTTCCCCCCCGGCGTCGCCGCCGACCGTCGGTTCCCCTCCCCCGCACCGCCGCTGAGCAGCACACACTGCCGGGAGCCAACGGCCGCGCATGTTTGCAATCGGCCCGTATCGATTCCTGCTCGGGTTGCTCGGTGGGGTGGTGGGGCGGCGTCTGCAGGGGTCCCCCCCCATACGAAGGGGGTGGTGGGGGAAGGCCAGCGGGGAGCAACTGCATCATGAGTTGCCGCGCCACCAAGCGTCGCCAAGCTCGATGCCTGTGGCCCCCCAACGGAAAGATCACCCGGGAGGCGGCAAGCAACGGACCGTTAAGGTGAGGAGCTTCTGCTTAGCGTGTCGCAGCGGCGGCCCAGGCGATCTGCAATGCCCTATGAGCTGATAGCGTGTCGCTTCGCTGCGCGGGAGGCTGGGAAAAACTCGGGTCGCTGACGCTTGGAAACGGGGACGTGGGAAGTGGTCCGCGTGTCGCGCCGAGGCCAGAGGTCTCGACCGCGTTCCCGGGATCAGCTTTGTATCCTGGGCGGCTGTTTGGCGGTCCCGAGCCCTGGTGAGGGCTCCCAGAGGCAGAAGATCCCACTAGCCCTTTAGGGAGTTTGTGGTGCGGGCCGTTTCCTCTTCCAGCACCGCTCTTCTCCCTCAGGGATGGGTTTACACCTACCCCTACCCCAGATACCTCAAGACGGCATCCAAGATGGCATCCAAGATGGCACCAGATAGCGCACTATCGCTCAAGATGGTTCCCCACGTACCCCAAGAGATCCCACGACCGCTCTAAGACTGGTTCAAATGGCCCCTTGGAGGCTCCCCAGGGACGCCTCCAAGACATCAAAATCCGTCCAACACCTGATGCACATCAGTGATTTTTCCGTTCGCTTCCGATGGCCTTCCGAGGCCTCACGATGTCACCAAAATGGCCCAAGAGAGCCCCAGGGGCCCAAGAGGGTTCCAAGACGGCCCCGAATAAGGTCCCCAGAGTGTACTTTCGGGGCTGAAGAGAGGCAGCGCTAATCAAAACATCCCCGTCTTTGATCGATGTCCTCCGGGCTGGCCCCAAGAGGACCTCCGCGCCCCCCGGAGGGCCCCGAGAGACCCTCACGAGGGCTCAATATGCTTTCAAGAGGCCTCTAGATAACCCAAGATGGCATCCCAATTTGATCGATGTTCTCCGAGATGAGCCCCCAAAAGAACTGCCCCCAGAAGCACCCCCGGGCTTCCCAATGCACTCCAAGAGACAAGCTCCTCCAACAGAGCTCCCCACGATGCCTGCTTTCGTGTAACGGCTGCGCTCAGTCTGGGCATACTTGCTGAAAGGCTGGCGGGGACGTGCCAAGCGTAAAACATTACCCAAAAACCTCTCGTCATGCGGGGCCCGCCGCGGGGCTCGCTGGGGGGCCCGCCCGGGGGGGGGCCGCCGGCTGCCGCCGGCGGAGCCGCCCTCTTCTCTTTTGCTTCCGCCGCCCTCCGCCGAGAAGGAGATGGCAGCTCGCTCGCTCCTCGAAGGCGAGGCCCTCTCTGGACCGCCCTGTTCCCAAACCCCCGACGTCATGATTCTTGTCATGGCGTCGACCCCCAGAGGTTTTGACCTATTCCCTGGGGCAGGCCTGTCATCCTGAGTAGCTTTTTGACGGCCCCGAGGCCCGGCAAGGGCCTCCAGAGGCACTGCTCGAGGGGGTCTGGGTTCGAGGCCAGCC